TCACAATTTGAGTTGAATTACTGAAATAAATGAACTTTTCCACGACATTCTAATTTATTGAGATGCACCTGTATGTAGGTTTAAAATTCTACATGTCACATTTAATGTCCAACAACAAATATTTTAGCAAATTGTATATTTTACTCAAAATTATTGCGCTCGCGCTCTGTCTGTTTAGCGCTCGTTCACTCACGTAACGCCTGCCTGTTTCACACATACTCCGTCTGCAGTGCGTATGCGTTGCGTATTTTTTACGCACCCATGTTAACGGATCGGAACACTGCACACATTTGCGGTCTGTCAGTGCGTTCCAGGAGCGGTGCGTCTGCAGCAGTGCAGCGATCATTTACACACCGTGTCTATTTTTTCTGTGCTGCACGCGCTGAATTAAAGTGACAGCGCATTGTTCGCGGTAAAAATTGACATGGATTGACACGGAAATGTAGTAATTTCACAATAAATTGATACAATTAAAGTCTACTGTATTTCACAGTCAACACATGGCTTTTTGGCTAGGTTTAAAACAAGAAAAAGTGCACTTTTAGATAAACAAGGCAACATAATAGATATACTTGTGGAGGTAGAAAAATAAAGTTCTTTAAGACCCACGGGATTGCTTGTAATAAAGATTTAAATGCAAAAGGCACGAGAGTCGACTGTCTCTATCAGTGGTGAATTTTAATTTTAAATGTTTGTGATAGCCTAACAAGAAAAGTAGGCAAAATGCTATGTTTAAATGTGTTGCCGCTTGCTTGAGCAACTAAATGTACAAACCTGTCAAATGCATGAATAATATATTTATTGAGTTTAAACCATAGACTGTATAAAAACAGGTTTAAACGAATGTCTATGAAAGATTGTTACTGTGATAAGAGGATCACAATGCTGAAAAAGCATTTTCAGTAACAACATTTGGATTTGAAATCAAAATAATGGATAAATGTTGTGTTTGTGGCCTAAACAGCCGCACGGATCAGTAGCGGACTGCAAACGTGTCCTGTGTGAAAGCACAATGAGTCCGTGCTGCTTCTGCACCGCATACGTAAAGCACATGGACCACATACTGCAGATGGAGTATGTGTGAAACAGGCATAAGCCTCGTCCACTCCTGACAGCAAAATGGATATATTTGCGTGACTTTCTGACATTTACAGATGAAAAATATACCTGTGACATGTCAGTTATGCACTGAGGAAAACACAACGTCTCAAATGCATTAAACAGCACAAATATATTCGCTGTTTTCCATAGTGGATCGATTTGATCCATGATCGACATTAAGAGCTGCTTAAAACCAGTTAAACTCCAAAATCGCGTAAAAAATGTTTATGCTTCATTTACATAGCCTTCCTTATATGGTATCAGCCCATATATGGGTTCATTTGAAAGCTTGGAGTGTCTTCTTTACAAAGA